GTGCGCTCTTGGTTCAGCTTCATTAGGGGCTTGTGGGGCTTGAGGGAGATTATCACTCCTACAGGGTTCAATATTTCTTAGGTTTTAGGAATATCCCCCAAAACCCTGAACCCTAAACCCCAACCCCCAACCCGAAGTGCTAGTGACCGGCCATACACCTTCCACATCTGCCTGGTAGGACTCGCACGGCTTAGGTTTTTACACTCTTCAGGGTTTTGGGGCCTCAGGGCTTTAAACCCTAAACCCTAAACCCTAAACCCTAAACCCTAAACCCTAAACCCTAAACCCTAAACCCTAAACCCTAAACCCTAAACCCTAAACCCTAGGGGGCCTTTCCTTGACAAGGAGGTGAGCGACCTCGTGGAGGAGGGCAAGTCCCAAGATGCTGTGGCAGACGAGGCCGGGGGCGGCCGGGCGGCTGGTCGTGCCCTGAAGCCCCATGCCTGTGTCCCAAAAGGCATGAAAGCCCACATGCACAGAAAAGAGGGTTTAGGGTTTAGGGTTTAAGGTTTAGGGTTTAAGGTTTAGGGTTTAGTGTTGAAGGTTTATGGTTTAAGGTTTAGGGTTTTCTAGAGTTCAGGGTTCAGTGCTTAGGGCTCATCTCCTCCCTGACTGAACCGCAGGACGCGCTGAAAGGCGAGCGCGAGGCGGCATTGCAGGACGGCACGGCCGTTGAATGCAGAGTCTGGGAGACTGCTGGCGTTTCAGGTCAGAGATTGGGGCGGTGCAATAAGCCCTTCAAACCTCATTCCCAAGCCCAACCCTGAAGCCTCAACCCTAAACCCTGATACCTAAACCCTAAACCCTTAAACCCTAACACCAAAACCCGAAACCCGAAACCCTAGACCTAAACCCTAAACCCTAAACCCTAAACCCTAAACCCTAAACCCTAAACCCTAAACCCTAAACCCTAAACCCTAAACCCTAAACCCTAAACCCTAAACCCTAAACCCTAAACCCTAAACCCTAAACCCTAAACCCTAAACCCTAAACCCTAAACCCTAAACCCTAAACCCTAAACCCTAAACCCTAAACCCTAAACCCTAAACCCTAAACGCCGGCTTCCTTCGTGGCAGGACCTGCGTCGGAGGACGACTCGGCTGATGCGGCTCTATGGTGACGAGGCGCCAAGCCCCCAAACCTTAGAGCCCTGAGGGTTTAGGGTTTAGGGTTTAGGGTTTAGGGTTTAGGGTTTAGAACCTCAAGTTCGAGCATTTACTAGGCCAGCAGTGTGTGTAGGCAACGGAAAAACCCACCCTCCCAAAGAGTCCTATAACATTACGAACTTCTGTTCAGACGCACCAAGAGGCCAAACAATCACACAGACCTCAAGTTATTCAGTCTTGTGCCCTGCTGGCTTCGTGGCTCGCTGAGCTGCAGTGCGTGAACAATGGGGGGCCAAAGGGGTCAGAGGGGCCGAAATGGATCAAATCGCCAAATTCGTGCTGAACAATGGGGGGGCCAAAGGGATCAGAGGGGTCGATTGGGTCCAGTCGCCAAATTCGTGCTGAACAATGGGGGGCCAAACGGGTCAGAGGGGCCGAAATGGATCAAATCGCCAAATTCGTGCTGAACAATGGGGGGGCCAAAGGGGTCAGAGGGGTTGAAATGGATCCAATCGCCAAATTCGTGCTGAACAATGGGGGGCCAAAGGGTCAGAGGGGCCGAAATGGATCAAATCGCCAAATTTGTGTTTAAAATTAGGGTTATATGGTAGAGATGTTTAGCGCCTCTCTAACTTGGGGTCCTTTTTTTTTGTAGGGTTGTTGTGCCATATATAGGACCCAAAAAGGGACCCTAGCTTAGAGAACCCTAAACCCTAAACCCGAAACCCTAAACCCCAAACCCTAAACCCTGAGCCCCTAGCCCTGAGCCCTGAACCTGAAAAACCGGGAATGTGCAGCTTCAGCCTTAAGCCCCAAAGCCCCCAAAACCCTAACACCAAGCCCTAGACAACTCTGAACCCCCAGGCCCCAAACCCCAAGCCCCAAGACCCCAAAGTCTCAAACCCTAAACCCCGCGCCCCGCAGGTTTGCCTGAGCTCCCGCGGCGGGGAGTTGAAGGGTGGTTCATGGGTTATGAGTAGGGTTACAAGTATCCTGCTTAAGGCTAAAGGTATGCTTACCACCCTAAACCCTGAACCCTAAACCCTAAACCCTAGACCCTAAACCCTCAACCCTAGACCCTAAACCCTAAGCCCTAAACCCAAAACCCAAAACCCAAAACCCTAAACCCTAAACCCTCCTTACGCATATGAGAACCTCCGAGCAAGGCCACCGCGGGCCGGGATGAGGTCCTGGAGGAGGAGCTGGACAAGGAGGCGAGGAGCAGAGCCTGAAGGTTTGCGAGGTTGGTTTTAATGACATGAAATACATACCAATACATATGAACATATGCAAATACTCATCCATACATATACTAGATAAATGCTGAACCCCGCCAAGACCTACCTGGTGTAGTGCTCCTTCGACTCTCGCACGGAGTTGTGCACCCGATTGTGAAAGCGGCGCGGAATTTATTGTTGAAGTCTCGGATGCTTCCCCGCATGGGTGTATGTATGTATCATGCGTACATGTTCATATGTAAGTAGAAGTATATACACACTCATACATATGTAGTTGGCGGGTTAGAGGCGGTTAGACTGCTTGTAGGCACCCTGCATCCTGCGCATCCCTCTCAAATGGGTTGTCAATGGCCAATCTCCTGCCACTTGATGCATCTTTTGCAATGGGCAAGGTGCCTGCATCCTCTAAGTGGCAAGACATGGTGCAAAAATCATTCAAACACGCGTAAATTTTTTGTTGTATCAAATTTTGTAATGTCAATCAAGATACAAATTGAAATCTACACCATGCCAATACGAGTGATATCAATGACAAAATAGCAATTGTTTTTTTAAGAAAGCTGAAAACAGGCACAAAAAACCTTACACCCTAAACCCTGAACCCTAAACCCCAAACCCAAACCCCAAACCCAAACCCAAACCCCTGACCCTTAAGCCTAAACCCAAAACGCTCAACCCAAACCCCGTGGTTCAAGGTAGTCGCGGCCATGAAGAAAGAGGAGAAGGAAGCCGTCCTCAAGCAGTGCCGGGGTTGCGGGACAGGGGGCTCGCAGGGATTGTTGGGGCATCTTCAGCCCTACGGTGTCGGGTTTAGGGTTTAGGGTTTAGGGTTTAGGGTTTAGGGTTTAGGGTTTAGGGTTTAGGGTTTAGGGTTTAGGGTTTAGGGTTTAGGGTTTAGGGCTAGGGTTTAGGGGTTAATTAGGGTGTAGGGTGTAAAACCTAGTAAAACCCTTAGGCCTAGAAGCCTTGGCAGGGTGTTCGGTGTGTTGGGAGGGATTCTTGGCTGGGGGTGTTGGCTTCCGAGGGCGGCAAGCACAATGCAAACAGAACCAGACCCAACACTACTTAAGCCCCAAAACAACACGAGGGTTTAGGGTTTAGGGTTTAGGGTTTAGGGTTCACACAGCCCAGGTGGTTCACCGAGCACGGCGCCCTCGCAAAGTTGCTCGGCAGAAGCAGGGCTGGGTCGTGGCATCATCCTGTCCGGGGGCGGGTCCGACAGGAAGATTTCGAGGGTTTAGGGTTTAGGGTTTATAGGGGGTTTAGGGTTTAGGGTTCAGGGTTTCTGGGCTTTCGGGTGTCCATGGGTGGGCTTCTAGGTTTTGAAGTTTTGAGGGTTTTGTCGTTTCTCAGTTTACGGCCTTCAAGGGGTTCAGGGGACGACAGGACAACCCCATGCTAGAATGTCGACCCTGCTTAACGTGTCTTTTGCTCATGATGTTTGTTCCTAACCCCTAAACCCCCAAATCCTAAATCCTAAACCCTAAGCCTTAAACCTTCAACCCTAGCCGAGACCCAAAACCCTAAGGAGATGTGTCTTCTAGCCAAGTTCATCTTCACTCTGCTCAGGCTTGGGGTCTCCTAGCTCCGCTCCTATTCTGCCTTAAGCCCAAGAGCTCCAAACCCAAAAGCCTTCAAGCCCCCAAGCCCAAACCCACAAGTAGTAAACTCCAGAAACCCCAGAAACCCTAGAAACTCTAGAAGCCCCAGAAACTCCAGAAACCCGAAACCCCAGAAACCCCAGAAACCCCACAAACCTCCACGAAACCCCAGAAGCCCCAAAAACTCCAGAATTTCCAAAAACCCTAGAATCCCCAGAAACCCGCCCCTGAAGCCCCACACCCTAAACCCTAAACCCAAGCCTGAACCACTTCGTCTCCCAAGCCTTGAGCCCCCCCTCTTGACCCTAAACTCTAAACCCTAACCCTAAACCCTAAACCCGAACCCCTAACCCCTAAACCCTAAACCCTAAACCCTAAACCCTAAACCCTAAACCCTAAACCCTAAACCCTAAACCCTAAACCCCAAGAGGCAGTGTGCCATGCAGCTGCAAAGCGGCGCCGGACTGCCCGGGAAGCACGAGGCCATCTCGGCCCTACAGTGCCAGGAGACTGAGGCAGGGGGCGGGGGCTTCGGGGCTTTGAGGGTTCTTTGTGGTGCTTTACTGTAACTTTACATCTCTGGCCTTTTTGGGTTTATTGGGTGGCAGCTAAAGATTAAGTTTATAGCTACCCTGCTAAGAGCAGCCAAGGGTTGAGCGTGTTTAGGTCTTTAGGGCTTAGGGGTTTAGGTGTTTGGGGCGTTTAAGGTTCTAGGGCTTTTCCAGGTTTGGCGTTTGGGGTGTTTAGGGCTTAGGACGTTAGGAGTTTGGGGTGTGTAGGGTTCTTTAGGGCTTTTAAGGGGCTTAGGGTTTCAAGTGTGTCTTGGGGTTTAGGGCCTAGGGCCCTTCGCGCAAAGCTCCAACTTTAGGCCCCTGTTCGGAAGGATCAGTGTTCGGGAGATCACTCCCTACACCCCCAAAGCTGGGATGTTCACCCCTATACTAGCAGTCCTTAATAGGGATGAATAAAGGGGGGGACTATGATACCTATTAAGGGCTGTTAGTACAAGGGGGAACACCCCAACCCTAAAGCCTAGAGTTGAAACCCTAAACTCTAAGACCTAGCCGGGCCTTTGGGCTTTCGATCGTTGGGTCTGTTGAGTTGGCACCTGAATCTCTTCGACCATCTAAGCCCCAGCAGGCTAGGTCTTAAGGTTTAGTGTTCAGGGTTTTGTGTTTCGGCTTTCGGGTTTCAGGGTGAACCGAAACCAGAGACCCTAAACCCTAAACCCTAAACCCTAAACCCTAAACCCTAAACCCTAAACCCTAAACCCTAAACCCTAAACCCTAAACCCTAAACCCTAAACCCTAAACCCTAAACCCTAAACCCTAAACCACACATCCCCAAAGCTAAGCCCCCAGGTGGAGAAGCGGGTGGCGAGCCTCAACGAACAGGTACAGGAAGCCAAAGACTCGCTCTTCGTCCTGCAGCGCCCCGGATGCGCAGGGTTTAGGGTTTAGGGTTTAGGGTTTAGGGTTTAGGGTTTAGCGTTTAGGGTTTAGGGTTTAGGGTGGTGTTGGGGGTCTTTCTTTTCTTCGGGTTTAGGGTTGAGTTTCAAGTATCATGGATGGAGCTTAGAGTTTAGGGCAAAGACATATCCGCTGGCTCTTGCTAAACCCTAAACCCTAAACCCTAAACCCTAAACCCTAAACCCTAAACCCTAAACCCTAAACCCTAAACCCTAAACCCTAAACCCTAAACCCTAAACCCTAAACCCTAAACCCTAAACCCTAAACCCTAAACCCTGAACCCTGAACCCTAAACCCTAAACCCTAAACCCTAAAATCTGGAACCTTAAAACCCAGCGAAACCCTGGAGAAGAGCTCGCCCTTCAAAGCCCTCCGAGTGACATCCCAAAACAGTTTGAGGGTTTTGCCTTAAAGGTCGAGGGCTGACAGGGTTTAGTCTAAGAGGTTCTAGGGCTCTTGGGGGGTTTAGGGCTTATAGGTTTAGGGTTTAGGGTTTAGGGTTTAGGGTTTAGGGCTAGGAGGGTCTGGGGCTCTTAGAGGGCTGCGGCTTGTGGTCGACCTAGCCCTGCCCTGCTGCCGCAGAGCCTCCGAGGACCCACGAGCAGAACTTGGTGGAGAAGAAGGAGAAGGCCTGGGTTTGCTGGTTTAGGGTTTAGGGTTTAAGGGTTTAAGGGCTGCTGGGATGCTCGAAATTTTCTCCATTGGGTTGAAGAGGAATTTTGCGTTTAGAAGCATGCCTCCTAATTGCAAACGCTTGCGCGCGCCGCCTCGGCAGCAGCGGGCACAAACTTCTGCACGGAAGGAAGGGTGGGTCAGCGGGCAAGGAGACCGGATCAGGGTCTGCTTGTTCCAAACGCTTATCGGCAGGAAGCCAACAAAGAGGGGGGGAGGGGAGGGGAGGGGGGCTCCACGGCATCGGTTTGCAGCTGCTCCAAGCGATCGAGGGGGTTGGGTTAGGGGGAAGGAGACCGGATCCGGGTCTGCTTGTTCCAGACGCAAGCCGAGGCGAATTATGGGGTTTGCGGGTTTTTGGGCAACCCTACTTTGGAGGCGGAAGGGTCACCTGAAAGTGGGGCATCACGCAGCTAGGCATCACACTGTAAACTTAGGTGGTGAAGCTCTCACCGGCTTGGGGGTTATTGTTTAGGGCGTCGCGTCTAGGCTACAACCCAGTGCTTCTCATGGCATGGTGGTCCCAAAGCTTTCATTCAACTGAGGGCTCTGTTGATCAACGGAGCCCTAGAAGTGAAATCGGACCCAAGCCATGTCAATCCGTGCCTGCAGAGCTTTGGGGCTTCATTGCATCCTAAACCCTAAATCCGCAACCCTAAGCTCTAAGCTCTAAGCTCTAAGCCCTAAGCCCTAAGCCCTAAGCCCCAAGCCCTAAACCCCAATGACCCAAAACACCCTAAATCCTAAACCCCAAACCCTAAATTAGGGGTTAGGCCCCTGGTCTGCCCAAAGCCAAAGCCTCTGAGCCTCGACGCCCCAAGCCCCGACACCAGAAGCGCCCCCCCCCCCCCCCCCCCCCCCCCCCCCTCCAGCACCCTAAGACCGAAACCTTAAAACCCTAAGCCCTGCACCCTAAACCCTAATCCCTCAACCCTCAACCCTCAACCCTCAACCCTCAACCCTCAACCCTCAACCCTCAACCCTCAACCCTCAACCCTCAGCCCTCAGCCCTCAGCCCTGAACCCTCAACCCAACCCAAAACCCCAACCCCGAAAACCCACACCTTGACACCTGAGCCCTGCTCTCACAAAGTACCATGCTCCCTCAAGGTCCAGGCGCTCCGCGGCGACGTCAAAACCGAGGCATCACTTGTGGGCGTGGGGCCCGTGGCATGAGGAAATACCCCTAAGCCCTAAACTTAAACCCTAAACCCTAAACCCTAAACCCTAAACCCTAAACCCTAAACCCTAAACCCTAAACCCTGAACCCCGAACCCCGAACCCTAAACCCTAAACCCTAGACCCCAAACCTAAATTCGAAGAGTTTAGGGCATCCTCGCGGTCATGGGGTTTGCCTCTTCTACATCTTTTTTTTTTTGTTTATATATAATTTTTGTTTATATAAAACCCAAGAGGATATTAAAGAATACTATTTGTATTTATATCAAGGCCAAGAGGGTATTAAACATCTCATGTTTATGAAGGTTCAAGGGGGAGTGTAGTCTTGTGGGATGCCGGTTCACTCTTGCTGTTTTGCTGTCGGAGTCGTGCTCGCAAACGCTGAGAAAGATCAGGTTTGGGGTTTGCGGCTTAGGGTGTTGGGTTTAGGCTCTAGGATTCATTTTCTTCAGGAGTTTGCTCACAAACATGCTCAACTCTCACCGGCCGGTGCTGATGAGTGAAGTGTGGCGGTCTTCTACGCCCTCCACTCTAAATACCCTGAACCCTAAACCGTAAACCGTAAACCCTAAACCCTAAACCCTAAACCCTAAACCCTAAACGCTAAACCCTAAACCCTAAACCCCAGAGGGGGGGGGGGGGGGAGGATTTGGAGCAATTACCTGTTCAAGTCCCGGGTCAAGGCTTGTAAGCTCTGAGATCCGAGGGTTTAGGGTTTAGGGTTTCGGGTTTAGGGTTTAGGGTAAAAAACCCAAAGCCCGCAGGTGGAGCGGTTGGGCTTGCTGCTGCAGGCGAAGTGGAAAGAGTGCCAGGTGCTGGTGGGTCGGGTTTCGGGTTTAGGGTTTAGGGTTTAGGATTCGGGGTTTAGCGTTTAGGGTTTGGGGATCTTGAGTTTGTGGAATGGGATCACGGGAAGAAGGTGCCTTATGCTCACCACTCCTGGTTTGCCAAACGGATGTTTGGGACGTAGGTTTTCTGTATCCACCTACTGAACCCTCAACCCTCAACCCTCAACCCTCAACCCTCAACCCTCAACCCTCAACCCTCAACCCTCAACCCTCAACCCTACACCCTAAACCCTAAACCCTAAACCCTAAGCCCTCAAACCCAGGGATGATGAGCCAGGAAGCTAAGCGAGGGCCCTCCTTTTGGGCGCCCTAGACAGGGTAAGGGTTTAAGGGTGTCATCATGGGCCACAAGGACCCTTAACTGAGGACAGATGAACCGTGCAAGGCTTTGATGGCTAGTTTATGTGCTTGTTCAGAGTTGAGAATCCAGCATTCATGTGCTGCATGAGTCTTTGGGTCTGGTTTGGCCCGGTCCGGTCGTGTCATTCTCTTCATGACTGTCTCGTCACTCTCTCTCTCTCTCTCGCAGTTTGTCTCTCTCTCTCTCTCTCTGTCACTCTCTCTCTGTCACTCTCTCTCCGGTCTTGGTCCGTTTGCCGTCTGTCTGTGTTCTCATCTTCTTCGCCTCGCCGAGTCTCACCTCACCTTGTCATTTTAAGATTGCTTACGTCGCCCCACGGCTGAAATTGATGAGCCTGCCACGTGTGCCTGTCGGGTGTGACAAGAACTGTCAGCCTGTGCACCAAGAAATCCCAACCAAAAAGCTGGCAGAAGCATCCGACACCTCAAAAGGCGGTTGAGGCAAAGTCTGTGCCCCCTTGTGAGGAGCTCCTGGCCAACTACCGCGGCTACCACCTCCGCAATGAGCTACTCTACGTCCGGGAGCGCCCCAGATGGAAGAGCTACCCCAAGCCGCAAACCCTAAACCCTAAACCCTAAACCCTAAACCCTAAACCCTAAACCCTAAACCCTAAACCCTAAACCCTAAACCCTAAACCCTAAACCCTAAACCCCAAGCCCTAAACCCGAAACAACCTTGAACCCCAAACCCCAGCACCTTGGGGATTTTGGGGTGAGGATCTTCTGAGGATAGGCGCCACCTCAGAAGCTGTCTCCCAACCCTGAGAGGGCTCTGAAGCCTAATCCCCAAGCCCCCAAACCAGAAAAACATCGGGTTGTGTGCGCTTCTAGGTAGGCCCTTTGGATATTATTTGCTTTCCCTATTGGGCTTAAGAGGATCACCCTATTGGGTTTAAGAGGATCATATTGAGGAACACCTTTTTTTTTTCAGAGGGTTTCAGGGGCCATCTTAGGGTTTAGGGTTTAGGGTTTAGGGTTTAGGGTTTAGGGTTTAGGGTTTAGGGTTTAGGGTTTAGAGTTGGGCCGCACCCAGGCAGATTGCCGAGGACGCGCTGGAGGCGTCAAGAGGCGAGCTGGCGAGCGCCCGCGAGGAGCAGTCAAGGGGCCGAGGTTGATTTTGGGCGCCCTAAACCCTAAACCCTAAACCCTAAACCCTAAACCCTAAACCCTAAACCCTAAACCCTAAACCCTAAACCCTAAACCCTAAACCCTAAACCCTAAACCCTAAACCCTAAACCCTAAACCTAAACCCTAAACCCTAAACCCTAAACCCTAAACCCTAAACCCTAAACCCTAAACCCTAAACCCTAAACCCTAAACCCTAAACCCTAAACCCTAAACCCTAAACCCGCTTGTCGGTGGCTGCTGGGCGCAGTTCGCGGTCCAAGCAGTTGCGCAGTGTTGGGACCGTAGGACCGCAAGCATTCGTCCTCTGAGGTCTGCTCGTTGTTATGTTTTAGGGTTTAGGGTTTAGGGTTTAGGGTTTAGGGTTTATGGTTTAGGGTTTAGGGTTTAGGGTTTAGGGCGGACAACGCGGGGTGCATGTGTGAGTTGCGTTGGCGGTTTCGGGGACAAGTCTGGTCGCGCCTGGGTCGAGTTGGCAGATCAAGGACATGTTCCAATTCAAGCCAAAGGTTTCTTCATTTGGTGAGTTCTCAAATTAGTTTTCCTTTTTGGGTACCCTAAATTGTAGGGGCCGCCTTAGAATCATAACTCCAAAAGGGGCCCTGATTTCGAGAAGTGACCAATTTGCTGGTTTGGGTTGGTTCTCGAGCTGAAGGAACTGTGTTGAACGTTGGCTCCGTCAGGTCTTATCTGCATGAACGCATCGTTCCTGTGGACTCTTATCTATAGCGGGATCACTAGCAACGGCGGGATGGTGTGGGTTCACCTAGGCCTTAGACCGTCCCAGACCCGAAACCCTGGGTTTCTTGGACAACCTTTCAAGACCCCGACTATCTGGGCTCTCCGTCGGGCAGAAGGGGGCTAAAACCCCAGACCCTGAACCTCTAAACCCTAAACCCTAAACACTAAACCCTAAACCCTAAACCCTCAACCCTAAACCCTAAACCCTAAACCCTAAACCCTAAACCCTAAACCCTAAACCCTAAACTTCGAAGCTCCCGAGGCCTCCGAGCCACCAAAGCCAACCGCGGGTGTAAAGTCGACCACAGCTGGTCAGGGCGAATGGATGATTTGGGTTTAGGGCTTAAGGTTTAGGGTTTGGGTTTAGGGTTTAGGGTTTAGGGTTTAGGGTTTAGGGTTTAGGGTTTAGGGTTTTGGGTTTTCGGTTTAGGGTTTAGGCTTAACGCTGCTGGGGTTGAGGTTGGGTTGCAAGGATCTTGCAAACTCTAAACCCTAAACCCTAAACCCTAAGCCCTAAACCCGAAGCCCTAAGCCCTAAACCCTAAACCCTAAGCCCTAAACCCTAAACCCTAAACCCTAAACCCGTAACCCTGAACCCTAAACCCTAAACCCTACATCCTAGACTGGACCCTAGAGTATACAACCTTCATCTATGTGGGATACTACGCTGTAGAAGGCGTGGCAGATCACGAAGGAGCTTGCAGATGAGTCCCAGCACAAGGCCGATCGTGACCTCCAGGGTTAGGGTTTAGGGTTTGGGGTTTAGGGTTTAGGGTTTGTTTGCTTAACCCGAAGCCGTATAGCAACGCCCCTCACCCCGAACGATGTAGGGGTTTTTGGTCTTCGTCTTTTGGCGGTTGTTTTGAGGTTGGGGCAGGTTTTGGGCTCACGCTCCTTCATCTCAACGGGCGTAGAGTTTCTCGTTATGATTCTGAGCATGTTCTGCGCGCAGACCCTACCGAAGTTTATGTCACACATGCAGAGCTTTGTATTGTATGAAGGTCCTTGCCGCGCATCCCTAGAGGGCCCTACATGACCCCATGCAACCCCATAACCCTATGTTCTCTGGGTCTTATGTGGCCAAGCCCCATGTCACCCCGTGGAACCTCCAGACCTAAACCCTAAACCCTAAACCCTAAACCCCAAACCCCAAGCCCTAAACCCTGTAGAGCATGTTGGACGCACAAGAGGCGGCCCAGTGCGTGGCAAGCATGAAAGTGGCCCGCGAGGTCGCTTGAGAGTCTTCCAGTTGTGTGGTTAATAACGGGGTAGGGCCCGAAACCCTAAACCCTAAACCCTAAACCCTTAACCCTAAACCCTAAACCCTAAACCCTAAACCCTAGACCCTAAACCCTAAACCCTAAACCCTAAACCTTAAACCCTAAACCCTAAACCCTAAACAATAAACCCTAAACCCTAAACCCTAAACCCTAAACCCTAAACCCTAAACCCTAAACCCTAAACCCTAAGCCCTAAACCCTAAACCCTAAACCCTAAACCCTAAGCCCTCAGCCCTAAGCCCTAAACCTCACCAAGGCGCCCAAGCTTGAGGCCTGGTACAGGGAAAATTCGAAGCTCTGGGATGTCGTCTGGTTGGGGCCGGTGGTATAGAAGGCCTGTAGGGTTTAGGGTTTAGGGTTTAGGGTTTAGGGTTTGGGTTTTCGGGTTTGGGTTTTCGGGTTTAGCGATTTGGGGGGTGTGGGGTTTAGGGCTTGGGGTTTGGGGTTTGGGGCTTGGGGTCCTAGGTGTTTGGGGTTTAGCGTTTGGGGGTTTGGGGTTGGGGTTTGGAGCTGAGGGCGGCTTGTTCAGGATGTTGCAGGTTTCGTAAACCCTTCCAGTCGTACACCCCGAGCCGTCAAAACCTTAAACCCTAAACCCTAAGCACCAAACCCGAAACCCTAAACCCTAAACCCCAAAACCCTAAACCCTAAACCCTAAACCCTCCAGAAGAGGATGCCGACGTCCAGCTGCTGGAGCACACGGAGGGGTCAGTCGAGGCGGAGCTCCCTTGGGTCAAAGGTTGACGGGTTCTCACCGTCTAGGGGTTAAGGTTGAGCGGGGAGGGTTTAGGGTTTAGGGTTCAGGGTTTAGGGTTTAGGGTTTAGGGTTGAGGGAGGAAAGGAGGGAGAGAGAGAGAGAGCTCAGCACATGTCCATCTTGCTTGATGCTCGGAATTTGGGTAGACTGGGCTTCAAGGTGTTTTCAGTTCTGGGCTTGGGATGTGCCTAAGCCTCTAAATACCCTAGCCACGAAACACCTGAACCACCTAACCCCCCAAACCCCAAACGCCCCAAAACCCAAGCCCCAAACCCCAAGCCCCAAGCCCCAAGCCCCCAAACCCCAAACCCCAAACCCCCAACCCCAAACCCCCAAACCCTAAACCTGAACCCGAAATAGGGGCCTTGTAAGGTTCCTTTCTGCCAGGCGCGCTGGCTGAGCTCGGAGATCAGTCGCCGGATCTCACTGTTGGAGGTCGCCCGACAGGCGGGGATACCCTGGACCCCTGGCCTCAGCCGAAAACTCTGGAGTTTAGGGTTTAGGGTTTAGAGTTGAGGGGTTTATGTTGTCGGGCTTAAGGGGTCACCCTAAACCCTGAACCCTAAACCCTGAACCTGAACCCTAAACCCTAAACTTTAAACTCTTGAGGGCTCAGGGCTTGGGCTTCAAGGGTTGAAGTTGGCGTTCGCGGACACTGGGCGTTTGACCTTCTGGGGGTCCTTGCGGTTTTCCCTTCGGGCTGCGGAGTTTGGGGGTGCGGGGAGTTGGGTGTTGGGGGGGGGGCTTACCCTCAACCCTAAACCCTAACCCTTAAACGCGAAACCCTAAACCCTAAACCCTCAACCCTAAACCCCTACACCCCTAAACCCCCAAACCCCTAAACCCCTAAACCCCTAAACCCCTAAACCCCTAAACCCCTAAACCCCTAAACCCCTAAACCCCTAAACCCCTAAACCCCTAAACCCCTAAACCCCTAAACCCCTAAACCCCTAAACCCCTAACCCCCCAAACCCTGAACCCTAAATCCTGAAGAGAGAGGGCTGGGAAGCCGTGGAGCTTCTTGTGAGCGTCGCTTGCGAAAGCCGGGGTTTCCCGACATCGTCCTGGCAATCCAACGTGGGCCCAGATCTTCTTGTTGACCCAGAGGTACCCTCTTTTCCCTTTCTCTTGGTACAATTTCCCCTTATAAAGTCGCCAACCCCAAAAAGGGGTGCCCTTGTTGAAAGATGGTTACCGGGCTATCAGGTCTTGCCTACCAGTAGTAGCTGCTTGTTCCAGGCCGAAGCTTATGAGCCCCACAAATCTCCTTGCAGTCCCCGACCGCCACAGGAGACGCACATTGGCAACGCCATCAAGGTGCGCCTCATAGGGTTTAGGGTTTGGGGTTTAGGGTTGAGGGTTTAGGGCTACAGGTACACCTTTTGCTGGGTTAGTTCCGGGAGCTGGTGCACTTCCTTCCCCCCCCAACAACCCTGGCCGCTGTATTTTCAGTTTTTGGCCGCTTTATTTTCAGACGCTGAATTTTCAGATTTTGGCCGCTTTCTTTTCAGTTTTTGGCCGCTTTATTTTCAGTTTTTGGTCGTTTTTTGCTTTCTCAATGTTGTGGAATTCTCTGGGTGGGTGGGTGTTATACTAGAGCCGTAAATGAAACTGAACCATAAAACTGCTCGACCCGGAGTGCTGAACCCTAAACCCTAAACCCTGAACCCTAAACCCTAAACACCCATGAACTCTTCAAATGTGAACAAACATACAGGAGACTTAAATGTTTTTTCGGGGATGAAAGTCAGGGACTCTGGGTTCCAGAAGGCCGAAGCACTTAGGGTTTGGGTTTAGGGTTTAGGGTTTAGGGCTTAGGGTTTGGGGTTTAGGGTTTAGGGTTTTAGGGTTTCGGGTTTCGGGTGTAGGGTTTAGGGTTTACGGCTTGGGGTTCAGGGTTTAGGGTTTAGGGTTTCGGGTTTCGGGTTTAGTGTTTAGGGTTTAGGGGGTTTTATGTGTGCTTGCAGGACAGGAAGCGGATTGAGCGTGCCATCCGAACGCTGGAGGGGCAAAAGAAGAGCAAGAAGACGACGACGCTGCGGCTGAGTGGGGTCATGGTAATGTAACGCTTAAGGGTACCCTGAACCCGAAACCCTAAACCCTAAACCCTAAACCCTAAACCCTAAACCCTCAAGTTTTTCTGGGGCCCGAAACCCCTGCGACCTACACCCGGCAAGGCCAGTGTCCGATGTTCTCTACGTTTTGGGTCTAGGGTTTAGGGTTTCTAAACCCTAAACTCTAAACCCTAAACCCTAAACCCTAAACCCTAAACCCTAAACCCTAAACCCTAAACCCTAAACCCTAAACCCTAAACCCTAAACCCTAAACCCTAAACCCTAAACCCTAAACCCAGATACAAGAGCATTGCCGCCCTGGTCGCGTGTGAAGATGTTTGGGGCGTTTTAGAGTTTATGGGCTCGATGGGGTTCAGGGTTTGCTAGACTTTTGGGGCTAGGGTGACAGCACAAACTCCGAGTGCCTTCCCACAGAAGCTAAATTCACCCCTTCCCCCGTCCCCAAGATTCCCCAAGTAGGCGGCTGAGGGTTTAAGGAGGAACCTAAGGTCTACGTAGAATACCCTACACCCTGCACCCCGAACCCTACTACGGGGTGGCTTCTGATGGACCTGGATGCAACCGGCGACCAACGCAAAGCCCACGAACGTCTCGGTTTAGTAAGCTTTGGGGTTTTGGAGGTTCGGGCCTTAGAGGTTAAACCCTAAACCCGAAACCCTGAACCCCAAACCTGAAACCCTAAACCCTAAACCCTAAACCCTAAACCCAGTGGATTCGGAGCTTAAACCAAGGAATGAGCTCTTCAACGCGAGGGACGAGGCTAGGTCCGGGAACCTCCATGCAGCTCCAGTAGTGCTTCAGGGTTTTACAGGGTTTTGTGTTGGGGTTTTGTAAGGTCCTTTGGTGCTTTTCGGGCTTTATAGGGTTGATGGGACGTTCGGGGTTTATTGGGTCTTATAGGTTTTGAGAGGCTTTTATCGGGTTTTGGGTTCGGGTTGAGGAGGTTCAGCGTGGAACCCCAACGCCCCTATACTCCTGCTGCCTGCCACAGACTCTCTCGTTTGAGGGTTCGGTTTCCTTTTGCGTAAACCCCTTCTTGGTGATCGGGTTTAGGGTTTAGGGGTTTAGGGGTTTAGGGGTTTGGGGTTTAGGAGTTAGGGGTTAGGGGTTTAGGGTTTAGGGTTTACGTAGGGTTTAGGAGATAGAAGAACCTGGCGGTTGTGGGTTTCAGGGGCGAGTTCAATCCGCAGGGTTGGCTTCTGGCTTGACGAGGCTTGGGATCCTGATGCTTTAAGCCTAAGCCCTAAATCCTAAACCCTAACCCTAAACCCTAAACCCTAAACCCCTAAATCCTAAACCCTAAACCCTAAACCCTAAACCCTGAACCCTGAACACTGAACCCTGAGCCCTCAACCGCAGGAGAAGAAAGTCGCTGCCAACATCAAGTCCTTGCAGGATGAGGTGACGAGCCTGCAGGCTCGGGTGCTTCGCGCCGTAGGGTCTAGGGTCTAGGGTCTAGGGTCTCGGGTCTAGGGTCTAGGGTCCAGGGTCTAGGGTCTCGGGTCTAGGGTTTAGGGTGTAGGGTTTGCTGTAGTATGGCGCAGAAGCTGTGAAGGTTGGGATGCAGACTAGCTTCGAAAGCTTCGAGGAACGCGAAGAGCACTCTTAACACTTTTATCCCACCCCACGCCGTCTCAGGCTTCAAACCCACCCCAACCTTTCGGGTTTAAGCCTAAACCCTAAACCCCAAAACCCTAAACCCTAAACCCTAAACCCTAAATCCTAAACCCTAAACCCTAAACCCTAAGCCCTAAACCCTACACCCTAAACCCTAAACCCTAAACTCAGTTCAATTGTCTACAAAACCGTCCTCCGTCCAGTGATGAGGGGTTTCCTGCGTCCCACAAAAGAAGCCCTTAAAGGGTTTAGGGTTTAGTGTTGAGGGGTCCCTAAATACTTAAACCCGTTTATGGGTCCTAAGAGCTCGGGGGTTTCAATGTTATTTCCCCACCCCCCGTGTGGGGTTGTTAGATTTTAAACTCAACTCTTCTCCTCGCCCGGAACTCTTCTCCTCGCCCGGTCTACTCCTCGCTCATCCGTGGTTTACTGTAGGTTTTAGAATTTGGGGTTTAGGGTTTAGGTATGGCTGTTTAGGCGCTTAATCGCTTAGGCGTTCAGTGGCTTGAGAGTTTGGGTTGCATAGTTTTGAGGTTTAGTGCTTTAGGATTTCGAGTCGGGGCGTTGAGTCATGAGGATCTACGGCTTTTCAGGCCCAAGGGTAAGCCCCCGTTGACCTTTAAACCCCCTGTGCCCCCCACCCCCCTCAACCCCCCCCTCCCCCCACACGGGCTCTTCCCGGCTTCAGGGTAGGACCCTTTCAGGCTAGGGTCTAGGGTTTCGGGTTTAGGGTTTAGGGTCTCCCGCCTCCCCTCCCCCCACACGGGCTCTTCGTCTAGGGTCTAGGGTTTAGGGTTTCGGATTTGGGGTTGAAGGGTTTGGGATCAAGGGTGTAGCGAAATCCCAGTGACCGTGAGCCAGGGGCAGGCCGCGGCAGCCGAAAAGCAGTGCGCGGCACTGAAGGCCGGGTGGAAAGATGAGCCCGGTTTAGGCTTTAGGGTTTAGGGTTTAGGGTTTAGGCTTTAAGTTTTAGGGTTTAGGGTTTAGGGTTGAGCCCCCAAAACGTTTGGGGTTTGGGGGTTCCTTGGAGGTTCAGGGTACTGATAACCCAATCATAAGTGTAGCTTCAACCCACCTATGAGCCCCTTAAGTACCCTGATGGGTACAGTTATAATCCTAGTAGTAGAGTAGGTAACCTTTAACCTTTTTGGGGTAGTATACTCCCCTTATAATCCCAAAGGTTAACCTTTAAAACCCCTAGGTACTGGACAACTAAGTAATTGGGTTCCTAAGCACCCTGAACCTCCAAGTACAGGGGCCTCTAAACCTCTATTTTTCGGGCTGCCGGTGATTGAAGAGTCACCTGCTGCCCTTTGCGCGCGCTATGGACTTCGACATGTTCCTGGGGCGAAGGTGGCTCTGCTTGGCGGTTCAATGGGTACTTCTCAGTAGGGTTCTGACTAACGGTTTTCCTTAGTGACAACCCTACTTAGGGTACATGTAACCCAACTTGCAAGTATCCAAGAACCTCCAAGTATCTCCGCAAGCACTGCGGGAGGCTCCGCCAGAATCTTTCGTGCGAAGTGTCCGCATGCCCACATTCATAAGCCCCTAAACCCTACACCCTACCCTAAACCCTAAACCCTAATCCCCAAACCCTAAACCCTAAACCTCAAACCCGGAGTGTGGGACACGACAGGACAGAAAATGCAGGTCTTCCTCAGGCTTCCGAAATTGAAAAGGCTCTGATCTCTTGAAGGCTCCGAAGCACAAAGCTCGGGTTTCGCGTCTGGGGCTTCAGGGGGTTCAGGAGTCCTCAGCCCTAAGATGGGGTTGTTTTAAAACGCCCCACCCTAATCCCTAATCCCGAAGCCCTCAGCCCTCAGCCCTAAGCCCTAAACCCTAAACCCGAAAAACCCCAAACCCTAAAGCCCAAAGCCTAAGCTAAATCACGGCCACCCTGCAAGGATGCCATTCTGTGATTGAGCACCCCACATCCCCAAAGCCCGGTTCGTACCAACCCTAAACCCTAAACCCTAAACCCTAAACCCTAAACCCTAAACCCTAAACCCTAAACCCTAAACCCTAAACCCTAAACCCTAAACCCTAAACCCTAAACCCTAAACCCTAAACCCTAACACCTTACAACCTAAGAGAACAAAAAGACACCCAAAGGCTTGGAGGATCCGAGGCCTTCAAGCCTCCAAGCCCTAAACCCTAAACCCTAAGACCTAAACCCTGAACCCCTTAACCCTAAGCCCTAAACCCTAAACCCTAAACCCTAAACCCTAAACCCTAAACCCTAAGCCCTAAACCCTAAACCCTAAACCCCTGCGCCAACGCGCAACCCAGAGCTTTTTAAGATTTCTAGCAAGACAGTCGGAAGCGCACGGCAGCCGTAAAAAAAAACCCTAAACCCTAAACCCTAAACCCTAAACCCCTAAAACCCCTAAAACCCCTAAACCCCTAAACCCCTAAACCCTTTCTTGCTTCATGGGCCCTGGAGACCTTTACTTTGTGGTGCTTTAGTGTAACTTTACATCCTTAGCCTTTTTGGGTTTATTGGGTTTCTTAATAGGGCAGCCAAAAGTTAAATTTTTTACTACCCTCCTAAGTGCAGCCAAGCTTAGGCCTTGGCGGCGCGGAGGGCCGGCCACGCGGCAAACTGGGAGGGCACTGCTGAGGCCATTCGGCATTTGTGGGTTTACGCGCGGGTTTGGGCTTAGGGCTATTTCGGGGGTTTAGGGTTTAGGGTTTAGGGTTTAGGGTTGAGGGTTTAGGGTTTAGGGTTAGGGTTTAGGGTTTAGGGTTTCGGGTGTTTACGACAATAGGTGACCTCAAAAAATAGACCCCAAATAGTAGGATTCCATTTTAAGAAAGACCCCAAACAGGTACCCCTAATTTCGGAAACCCCCATTTGTTTGTTTTTTTTTGCAGTTGAGGCTTTTTGAATTCAGGGTCTTTGAATTGACGCTGTTTTGAATTCAGTGTTTTTCAATTCAGGGTTTGCGATTCAGGGTTTGTGGATTTAGGGCTTAGGGCTTAGGCTTTTAAGGTGAGGGTGATGTAGTTCGTGGAGACCACTGCACCAGCCCCTGGCACCCAAACCATAACAACCCATGACTCAACCTCAACTCCACCCGAAAGACGCAATACCAAGACCCACCTGAAGAACCCGTAATATGAAAAACATAGCAACCCCCTAGAAAGTTGCATACGTCCATAGCATGTCCCACCCGATAGAAAACCTCTACTCTGTATACGTAACGTTTATAGATTATAGACTATGACTAAAGTTATGCAAGGACAGTGAGCCTTCAAGCACGCAAAAGGCCGACGTTTAATTGTAAACGCTTGCGCACGCCGCCTCGGCCGGCCCATGGACACGAAAGGAGGAAAGAGGGTTTCTGGGCGGGGCCTCAGGAAGCGGGGAGGGGGTTTCCGGGGGGGGGGGGTTCGCAAGGTCCCAAGTGTCCTAGCAAGGTGTCAGGGGACCCAAAAAGGGTTCCAGGGCGGTCCCAAGGAAGGTCCCAGGGACGGGGTCCCAGAACTCCCCACCCAAAAGTTCCCAAAACAGCCAAGTGCGCGCGTTTTGGAGCTCCTCTATAGGAGCCGTCGACAGGCGGGGAGGGGGGGGTCCGTCAGCGGATGGGTCTGCTTGTTCCAGACGCTTCTCGGCAAAGCCGAGGCAATTTTTTTGGAAAGAACCTAAAAGCGCAAAGGTAACATCCACCAGATACATCGAGGACTTGGTGGGGAAACGGTTTTTTAGATATGAGAGAACCACATTTAATTTTTTGGACGCCTTCAACACAGACCCAGTGTTTGGAGATGACCTATATCATACTGGCTTCAAGTTAAGAACCTTGAACGGGTAGATGGTGATACAGATTCTAATCCATAACAGCAGAAACTAACAAATGCAGCTAGTATATGTATGTACAATGTCCACATTCAAACACCTTTAGACTCCGAGTTTGAAACCTGTAAGGAAGCAATACAAGTAAAGCATGACAAAGAAAACCCGTGCTGGTTTAACACCAGAACCGACTGGTATAAGGATACGCTAATGGGTGAGTTGCGAAGGGGGAAGAACAGATTAACGAACGAAAGTAGGTTAAAACTGATGACTAAGACCGAGGATGATTTCCAAACAAACGGGGCATCAATACAAGATATGGTGCCAGTGTTTGAACACTACGGCATTCATTCATTCCTTCGAGTGTACTGGGTTTTCTATCGGGTGGGGCATGCTATGGGGTTGAGTATGCTGTTTTCTATGGGGTTATGCGTGGTTCCATAGTATGGTTTCATCATTTGGGTGTTGCCTTCGGGTCTTTCGGTGGCGTGAAGGTTGAGGCATAGGTTGCTATGGTTTGGGTGCTAGGGGGTGGCGCATGGCTAGAGGATGGAAATGGTATATGCTAGCTGATGTAGGGGTTAGGGTTAGACTTGGACCTTTCGACCCTAAACCCTAAACCCTAAACCCTAAACCCTAAACCCTAAACCCTAAACCCTAAACCCTAAACCCTAAACCCTAAACCCTAAACCCTAAGCCCTAGACCCTTTCACAAGAAAGCGATCGCCAGCGGCTACGCCGTATCAGGTCCTGAGCTCCTGCGCGCTGTGCCCTACTTGAAGGTTCAGGGGTGGTTACAAGTAGAGTTGTAAGTATGGTAGCTCTTTCTACAACCCTATTTAAGAGTACTTATAGCCCTACTCATAAGTACTCATGAACCTCCAAGTACGCCTCTAGCCATCCACGCTGGCTCTGAAACTTGTAAACGTCGCCCGAAGTCACGACACCGGCCTTGAAGCCTCCAGCTTCTTGACCCTAAACTTACAAGTCCAAACCTCAAACCCCGAACCCCGAACCCCGAACCCTAAACCCTAAACCCGAAACCCCAAACCCCAAACCCCAAACCCTAAACCCCAAACCGACCGGAGAGGCCGAAGTCGAGCGCTCCTACGGCAGCCCTTCCCTCTTCAAGCAAGAGTTTGACTCGGATGACTCCGAGGATTGCTTTACGAGTTCAATGTTCTGCAGGGAGGAGGAATGATGAGTCCCTCGGGTTGCAGTGCTAAGCGGTTTGGGGTTTGGGGTTTGGGGTTTTAGGGGTTTAGGGCCCAACCACCCCACACCGCAATGGCCCTTGGTAGCGTCCCGCGCGTCGCGACATACGCTCATCGGGGGAAGGGGAGGGGCGGGATGGTTAAGGGTTGAGGCTTGCGGCTACAAGTTTGGCGCCCACCCCCTCTCCCCCCCCCCCCCCCCCCCCCCCCCCCCCCCCCCCCCCCCCCCCCCCCCCCCCCCCCCCCAAGAAAAAAGGTACAGAAACCAACATTTTTGCCATATGATCCCCCTTCTAATCCCGGAAAATTAGCTATCAATATAAAATACAATAAAAGACAAGTAAAAGACTATGTATACCTGTATACATCTATAAGATGCTCTGTAGACTACCAAGACTAATCAAGCTACATCCTTATACTACCCTTCTGCAGAAGCCCGTGGCCCTGTGGAGGACGAGAATGAGAACTCCATCAGCGGGGCGCTGTGCGACTACGCCGAATTCGACGACGTGTAGCCCGGCCGCAGTGAATCTCTCTTTGTGGTCCTTTACTGTAACTTTAGATCCTTACCTTTTTTGGGTTTATTGGGTTTCTTCTTAAGGCAGCTAAAAGTTTAATTTATAGCTACCCTCCTGAGTGCAGCCAAGCTCTAGTCAGTGTGTGTGTGTGTGTGTGTTTTTTTTCTTTGGTGGTGCTGTCTTTCGTGGTAGCTGTGCCAGACCTAAGACTGTTTGGCATTGTCTTGGAGGTTCATGGGTGCTTAGAAGGGCCACAGGCACTGAAAACTAAACCCTAAACTCTAAACCCTGAAGGCTGAACCGTAAACCCTAAACCCTGAACCCTAAAGCCGAAAGCTAAAGCCTAAAGCCTAAAGCCTCAAGCCTCAAGCCTAAAGCCTAAAGCCTAAAGCCTCAAGCCTAAAGCCTCAAGCCTAAAGCCTAAAGCCTAAAGCCTAAAGCCTAAAGCCTAAAGCCTAAAGCCTAAAGCCTAAAGCCTAAAGCCTAAAGCCTAAAGCCTAAAGCCTAAAGCCGAAAGCCGAAAGCCTAAAGCCTAAAGCCGAAAGCCGAAAGCCTAAAGCCTAAAGCCTAAAGCCTAAAGCCTAAAGCCTAAAGCCGAAGGCCGAAGGCCGAAGGCCGAAGGCCGAAGGCCGAAGGCCGAAGGCCGAAAGCCGAAAGCCGAAAGCCGAAGGCCTAAAGCCTATAGCCTAAAGCCTATAGCCTGAACCCTAAACCCTAAACCCTAAACCCTAAACCCTAAACCCTAAATCCTAAACCCTACACCCCTAAACCCGAAACTCCTAAATCCTAAACCCCTAAGCCGAAACCCTAAACCCTAAACCCTAAACCCTATCTTTTTCTCCTACTTTAAGTGCCCATGAGCCTCCAAGTCAGCCCCAAGGCCCGGCAGGGCGCGGTTTCAGGCTCACAAGCAGACCCTCCACAACTCACCCCAAAACCCCAAAACCCCAAAACCCCAAAACCCCAAAATCCAAAACCCTGAACCCTGAGCCCTAAACCCTAAACCCTGAACCCGAACTTGAGACGCTTGGGAGCCAAGGCCAAGCAGCTCGTACATGCAGGCGCCACCGCCTTATGTGACCCCGGGTTTCCGCCACTAGGAAGCCCAGCCCAGTGGGGTTTAGGGTTTGGGGTTGAGGGTTTAGGGTTTAGGGTTTAGGGTTTAGGGTTTAGGGTTTAGGGTTAGTTTAGGGTTCAGGGTTAGGCATGGAGACAGAGCTGCGAATAGCCCTCACGCCCTGAAAACAAGGGCCTTTGAGTTTGAGTGTTGAGGCGCACCACACGGTGGAGGCTTTCTTCAAGAAACTCCCCCAGCCAATCCCTCCGTACCCCCCTAAACCCTAAACCCCAAACCCCAAACCCCAAACCCCAAACCCCAAACCCCATAACCCCAAACCCCGAAACCCTAAACTTTACCCCGAAAGTCTAAACCCAACGCTCGCAGTCCTCTGTCTCTTTCTGTGGCCCGTGCTCTCCCTCTCTCCCCTTCCTCTTCGCCTTCGTTTTCGCTCTCACCCTCTCCTGGCTAACCCCTCCGGGTTTGGGGTTCCGGTTTAGGGTTTAGGGTTTTGGGTTTAGGGTTTAGGGTTTAGGGTATAGGGTTTAGGGTTTAGGGTTTAGGGTTTCGGGTTTAGCTGTGAAAGCCCAACAGACCCGAAGCCAGGGCGATGCGTCCAAGACTGCCATCAAGACCACCACCCTGGCCAAGCGGCTTGGCGGACGAAAGGACGAATCAGTTCCTAAGTGCCTCATTTCTGATGAACTACCTTCCAAGAATCGGGCTTTAGGGTTCTAGGTTGAGGGTTTCGGGTTTAGGGTTTATGGTTTAGGGTTCCAGGTTGAGTGTTTCGGGTCTCGGGTTCAGGGTTCATAGGGTGTGTTGTTCAGGGTTCTGGGTGCCCGAAGCCTGAACCCTCCAATAGCCCTGAGACCTTTCTCCGGTTTAGGGTTTGGGGTTGAGGGTTGAGGGTTTAGGGTTTCACGACTACTAAAGCCCCCCCGAAAACTCTGAACCTCAACCTTAAATCCTACAACGACATACCGCCCGTAGATCCCAAAGCCCCAACCCTAAGCTCAGGCTTCCGCGTTGCGCAGGACTGCAGGGCTCAGAGTCGTGTAGGATCTAGGCACACCCTCGGCCCGAAAAAGCCCTAAGACCCTCAAAGCCTGAGGCCCTAAGTCCTTAAGACTCCAAAGCTTTCAATATCTAAGCCCTAAACCCTCAAGCCATAAAGACCTGAAACCCGAAACCCTAAACCCTCAACCCCAAAACCCCCCAAACCCTCAAGCCATAAAGCCCTGAAGCCCTAAAGCCCTAAACCCTAAACCCTAAACCCTAAACCCTAAACCCCAAAACCCTAAACCCTAAACCCTAAACCCTAAGCCCTGAAAGCCCGAGTCGCAGGTCGGAGGTGAACAAAGCATTGCAGGCGTGGACTCCACAGTTTCCGGCTTTGGGGTCTAAAGGGTTTCAGGGGTTTTGGGGGCTTTAGGGGCTTTAGGGTTGGGGGGTAGGGTTGGGGTTCAGGGTTCAGGGTTCAGGGTTTAGGGTTTAGGGTTTAGGGTTTAGGGTTTGGGGTTTGGGTTTAGGGTTTAGGGTTTAGGGTTTAGGTTTAGAGTTTAGGGTTTAGGGTTTAGGGTTTAGGGTTTAGGGTTTAGGGTTCAGGGTTCAGGGTTCAGGGTTTAGGGTTTGGGGTTTATGGTTTGGGGTTTAGGGTTTGGGGTTTAGGGTTCAGGGTTCAGGGTTTAGGGTTAATCTCCAAACCCGAAAGCCCTCGCACGAAAGCCTCTGAGGTTTGTAGGGTGTCAGGGTGTTAGGTCGCGTTTTAGGACTTCAGGGTTTAGGGTGTGAAGTGTCGAATTGCATCTGGGATTTGTAAGACAATCCAAAGGAGGTGTAAAGCTGGATCAAGGAAGTGATGCAAGGAGAAGAAACGCCGCAGCCCCCCACCCCCCCCCCCCCCCCCCCCCCCCCCCCCCCCCCCCCCCCCAAAGCACAAACCCCTGAACCCTCGATAACCCCTAAACCCTGAATGCCGAAACCCAAAACCCTAAACTCTGGGTGTTCGTTTCCGCTGTGACCAGGCTTCCGAGGCGAAATGGCGGCAGGACGGCCGCCTAGACCTAGGCCACTTTACTACGGGCCCCTAGGGCCCATTTAGGGCTTAGGGTTATCATGGTATGTTCCTTTCAGTTTTCAGGGTATCCAACACTGTCCGTACTTCAGATCACAACCGTGATCTGTCCGGGGCTGATGTAGGGTCCGACTATTGCGGCTTGCCTCAAAGTGCGAGAACAGTCTGCTGCTTGATGAGACCTTCTTTTCTACATCGTTCAGCCGCCGTTGCTAGCGGGGCTTGCGCACCGTTGCTTTGACCCATGCAAGAAGGGCCCCTTGTAGAATTCTGTCTTCAGGTACTACACAAGAAGTTCAGCCATATACTGCAGCTAGGGTGGACCCCTTGAACCCGAAGCCCAAAACCCTAAACCCCAAACCTGGGATGCTCCACAGTCCTTAATTGGGATTATAGCATCCCCTCCTATCATCCCTATTAGGCACTGTTCGTATAAGCGGGAACATCCCAACCCAAACCATACAAAACCCTCAAAGCCCCAACCAACCCCACGCCTGCCAGGAGCTCGGAAGGACCGAGCGGAAGTGCGCAGACCAGGAGCGCCTCGGCTGCCTCGAGAAAGGAGCTGGGGGTCCCCTTTGGCTACGGACTTGGGTTGTCTTAGCTCCATTTGGGGCGTAGGCTTAGGGCTCAGGTGTGGTTGGGGGGGGGGGGGGGGGCAAGTCCCTAATCCCAAAACCCCAACACCCTTCGGTTTTGTTTGGGGCTTGGGGTATGCTGCTTGAAGGAGTCCAGGCCAGGTCTAGGGCGTTGGGGCTTAGGCTTTGATTAGGGTTCAGGGTTTAGGGCTGTTCAGAGTTTAGGGATGTTCAGGGCTTGGGGTTTAGGGCTGCATAAGCCCTAAGCCCTACCACCCTTCAGCTTCGGTGGTCAATCGGGTTCAGGGTTTAGGGTTTAGGGAATTAATGACCCGAAAATGCCGTAAACCCTCAGCCCTAAATTCTAAATCCTAAGCCCTAAACCCAAACCCCAAACCATCTGTCCCAGCTGAGGATGGAGATCGCCCGCCTCTGGGACCGCCGGGGGGAGTCGCGCTTTTGTAGGGGAGTTGCTCTCTACTTGGTGCCGCAAACGACAAGGGCTAAGGGTTGGTTTAGGGTTTAGTATACATCAAGTTCAAAAAGTTATTTTGAGCAGGGGTAGTCAGTCCTCTTGTGTGCCAGCGGGCTCCACTTGGGGTTCGGCATGCAACCCGAAACCCCAAACCCCAACTCCAAACCTCAAACCCTAGACCCTAAACCCTAAGCCCTAAGCCTTTAAAAGGGTTTCAGGGGGGGGGGGGCTGCCACCCTAAACCTTTCACGCTAGACCCTAAGCTCCAAGCCTAAAGCCCCAAACTCCAGACGTTGGTGAGCCCATACTCCCTGAAAGTTCGGGGTTTAGGGTTTAGGGTTTGGGGTTTGGGGTTTAGGGTAGGGTTTAGGGTTTAGGGTTCAGGGCAGGCTCCGGGGTTTGGGAATGTAGGGTTACAGTCTTAGTTTGGGCATTTAGGCTTGCAAGAAGGCCCTCCGGCAGGACCGCAGGGCTTAAACCGACCCCTAGCCACCGCATCCCCAACCCTAACTATAAGACTTTAAACCCCAAAACCCTAAACCCTAAACCCTGGCCCGAAACCCGAAACCCGAAAGCCTAAGCCCTAAACCCCAACCCCCAACATAAGACCCTCCCACCGCTGTTTAGGGGCACCACTCCAAGCGCGAATCCTACATTCCTAGGTCGGCCCCTGGGATGCTTTGCATGTTCCCTTAGTGTATTGAGTAGGATTTAGGGTTTAGGGTTTAGGGTTTGGGGTTTAGGGTTCAGGGTTTAGGGTTTGGGGTTTAGGGTTCTTTTCTCGACTATTTCTGCTTCAGAGGTTTTAGAGATTCCATGTATCTAGATAGGGAATACTTGGGCCTGACAGTATTTCCTTTCTAGGGGCTTTGAGGCTAGGATCGGCCCTAAACCCTAAACCCGAAACTCCGCAGGAGGTGATCCGAGAACTCCGGATGGACAGGGTGGATGGCAACGTGAGCGCCGACCTCGGCTCCCCGGCTTCTTCTGGGAGGGTTTAGGGTTTCGGGTTTCGGGTTTAGGGTTCAAGCTGTCTCATTGCGGGGGCACGCCGGTGCTAAAAGCACCCAAGGGCGCGCGCGCGCGCGCGCGCGCGCTCCGACTCGTGTAGCCCCACCGCCCCGCTTGCGCTCCACCCTCGTCTTGACCCTTGCGGGTTTGGGGTTTCCTTGCTTTCCGATCTCTGCTCGACGGCCCTGGGCTTACTCAGTTTAGGTTTAGGGTTTGGGGTTCTGTAAAGCTTTCAGCCCCAAACCTCAAGCCCTCAGATTCGACCCTCTAACACCTTTAAGGCCGAGATTGTAAGCTGGGGTTAAGGTCCAGTCTGAGCCCTTCCTAGACTTTCGGGTTTTTTGGGTTTCGTGTCTAGGGTCTAGGAAATTGGGAACCCTCAAGCCGAAACCCTGCATCCCCTCTGCCGGAAGCCCCTTCAGAGCCCGTGATGTAACCCACCCTACAACAATGAACAACAAAAGCCCCTAAAGCCACCAAACCCAGACATTCCCGACCGAGCCACCTCAGCCCTAAACCCTAAACCCTAAGCCTGAATCCCTAAATCCGATGCCCTAAATCCTAAACCCCAAGCCTTGCATCCTAAACCCTACCCAAACCTTTAACCCCCAGGCGAAAACAGCCCGCGAGGCCCCTTGGCTGCCATGAGGGTGGAGAAGGGATTTTCTGAATCCTGAGCTCGGTCCCAGAAGCTCCTGAGAAGCCCCAAGTGCCCTAGACCCTCATGGAGGCTAGGGTTTAGGGTTTAGGGTTTAGGGTTTAGGGTTTAGGGTTCAGGGTTCAGGGTTCAGGGTTTCGGGTTTCGGGTTTAGGGTTTAGGGTTTAGGGTTTAGGGTTTAGGGTTTAGGGTTTAGAGTTCGGGGTTTCGGGTTAGTGTTTAAGGTTGAGGATGATGGCGGTGTACCTAGACCTGGACCCAGAGGGTCGAAGGAAGATGGCCCGAAGTGCAAGCGGCGGCTTTCCTGCAAGTTTCAAACCTTAAGCCCTAAATTCTAAACCTTAAACCCTAAACCCTAAACCCTAAACCCTAAACCCTAAACCCTAAACCCTAAACCCTAAACCCTAAACCCTAAACCCTAAACCGTACACCTTCAACCCTAAACCGGTGTGATGGAGATTGTGGATCAGGAGGGGGATCAGGAGGAGGAAGAGGTGGCAAGCAGTGAGGGAAGGTACAGCGAGCTCTGCAGGAAGGTCGCCAGGCAGCTTGACGCCCCTCGGGTTTAGGGTCTAGGGTTTAGGGTTTAGGGTTTAGGGTTTAGGGTTTAGGCTTCACCTCTGGAGGGTGGAAGCGCCCCACGCGCACCCAGAAGGAGTGAGTCCAGGTCAAGAAACCTGAGCCCTAGGCTCCAAAGCCTAAACCCTAAACCCTAAACCCTAAACCCTAAACCCTAAACCCTAAACCCTAAACCCTAAACCCTAAACCCTAAACCCTAAACCCTAAACCCTAAACCCTAAATAAACCCTAAAGCCTAAAGCCTAAAGCCTGAAGCCTAAACCCTAAACCCTAAACAATAAACCCTAAACCCTAAGCCCTAAGCCCTAAGCCCCAAACCCTCAACTTGCTGTTGATTAGCAGGGAATGGGGGAATGAGGTACCCTATTTAATCCCTTAAAGGGTGTAGGTATAGGGGGATATAGGGTACCTCATTCCCTCATTCCCTACGAACTACATGTATTCAGAAGGGATGAGAAACCTTCCAAGTGGTGACAGCAAACCCCTAAACCCGAAAACCTAAACCCTAAACCCTAAACCCTAAACCCTAAACCCTAAACCCTAAACCCTAAACCCTAAACCCTAAACCCTAAACCCTAAACCCTAAACCCTAAGCCCCAAAACCCCAGGCTCCTTGAGCTCCTTTCACATGGTCGAACCCCAGCCCAACTTCACGGGCGGCCCGGCCGCGGAGTCGCCGAAGGAGGAGGCCCAGAGATGGCCCTAAACCCTAAACCCTAAACCCTAAACCCTAAACCCTAAACCCTAAACCCTAAACCCTAAACCCTAAACCCTAAACCCTAAACCCTAAACCCTAAACCCTAAACCCTAAACCCTAAACCCTAAACCCTAAACCCTAAGAGTTTGGGGGTTTGAGGTGTTAGAGGGGTGAGAGGGGTTTGACGGGTTTGAGGGGTTGATGGTTTGAGGTTTGCGGCTTGAGGTAGTAGTGCTTGGTGGTTTTGCGGTTCGGTTTAGAGTTGAGGATGTACTTTCCCTGCCCACACATAGGGACACCAATTACTAATTGGGAGCAACTCACCCATGTCTCTTGCGGTTTGGGGAGGGCGTGAGGGTCGCCCAGACCATGGTTCAATAAAGCCACACCTCGGCAACACCTCTTCGCCACAAAACGTCATATACAAAACTACGCAGCGGCAGACCGTCGAGGAGTCGAGGAATGAGGCTTACTTGGAAGGTTACAAGCACAAAATTAATTTCCATACTTCTAACTCTACTACTGAACCTCCAAGTAGGGTTTAGGGTTTTGGGGAATCCCTCTCCTTTGCCAGCCCTACTTGAAACCCCAGGCCCTGTAGCCCTAAACTCAAAACTCTAAACTCTAAGCCCTAAACCCTTAACCCTAAACCCTAAACCCTAAACCCTAAACCCTTAACCCTAAACCCTACAGCCCTAAGCTCTAAACCCCAAGCCCAAAATCGAGCGGCCGTTGAAACGCGTGGAAGAAACCGCAGCTCGAGGGTTGATCGCCGGAGCCAGCAGCTCATGACCACATCTGCCCAAGACCCTGAAACGTTTAGGGTTTGGGGTTTGGGGTTTAAGGGTTAAGGGTTTAGGGTTTAGGGTTTGGGGTTTAGGGTTTAGGGATGTAGGGTTTAGGGTTTGGGGTTTAGGGTTCAGGGGCTTAGGGCTTGGGGGGTTTAAGGGTTGGGGGTTGGGGTTTAAGGTTTAGGGGTTTTGGGGGTTTCGGGTTTGATGTGTAGGCTTGTGAGGTGTGTTTGTGTTTTTATTTTTTTTTGGGGGGGGGGGGGGGGTGGGGGGGTGGGGGGGGGGGGGGGGGGAAGAGGGGGCGGGGGGAGGGGGCCGGGGGGGGGGGGGGGGGGGGGGGGATTTAGGGCTTTGGGCTTTGAGTTTTACCCTGAAACCCATTTCCTTTGGCAATGGAAGTTGAGTCATGTAGCTTCCAACTTGTGGTCTACTGGTTTGTTCTGGTAGAACCCTCCGCCCCTGCAACTGCAAAAAGCCCTAAAGAGCTCCAAAAGCCTTCCAAGACAGCGCCCGCCTCAGGCAGGGCCCGGAGACGCCACCGCGGAAGCGCAGGGTTCCGCCGAGTGAGACATGCAAAGGCATCTCGGCACCCATTCTGTGGGTGCATAGGCAGTTGCGAGGTCGGGAGGGTTCCTGGTCTGGGCTTGCGTCGGGGGGCTCAGACCGCCGTGGCTCTAAACCCTAAACCCTAAACCCTAAACCCTAAACCCTATTCAGATTCGAGATCCGGAGATGTCAGCCAAGACAGAAGCCCCCTGAGCAGCGACCAGGCGTCGGCATCTCCCCGGTACGAAACCCGGAACCCTTGTACAGGACCTGCGTGCCGCGTTTCAATTAGATTTTAGGCGGTGCCGTGGCACCACTTCCAAGTTAGAGGGCATGATTTCCAAAGTTTGGGATCCAAACTGGACCCTCGTCCTAGAATTCTACGGGCTGCCATGGACTCCAGCATAGGGCGGGCAATTATCTAGAAACGTTTGTCCCCTTATGAAATCCCTATGTGTGGGTAGCACCCCGAGCTACCCCATGCCAGCTAAGCAGGCCAGGTATTCGTGAACTTCTCAAATGGTTCGGTTTATTGTAGGGTTGAGGGGTGCTGTGTCGCGTACTCCATAGAACGAAGCCAAAGCGCTATCTCCATGTTGGAGCGTCAAGCCCTACCCCAAACCCTTACTGTAAAGGCAGGCTCGAAGTCCCACGAAACGCTCAACCCTGAAGCCCAAAGGCAAAAGCATCGAACACCCCCCAAAGTCCCAAAGCCTTCGGGACCTTAAACCCTAATCCCTGAACCGGAGCCTCCTACCATTGAGTGAGGTGTTGGTTTGTTCTTGCCAGCTGTCAGTCCCAGCAGACCCACCGATTGATCCCGGAGCTGGCGAACAGGGCTCGTGGAAAAGGTCCCGGCTTTAGGTTTGGGGGCTTTGGGTAAAGGGCTTAGGGTTTAGGGTTTGGTGTTTTGGGGGAGTGTTGACATTTTGGGGTTGGTTGGGTTCAGGGTCTTGGGCTTCAGGCCTAGGGCCTGGGGTCTTCGGACGTAAGGGTGTGGGGGGTAAAGGTGCTAAGTGCATCGCGCCCAGCCCCAACTTTGCCAGCAGAACTCCTACAACCCAGGCACCCCCTCCCCCCCCGCCCCCTCACCCCGCCCAACATGCGCAGCATGTCAACAGCCTTTGCAGTCCCATCAGGCCCCCGTTGGAGGTCGTGCTGAATCGGGCCTTAGGGGGTTTCGAGAATTCATACACCGTATTTTAGGAAGGCCCAAGACAAGAAGGTACCCGTTTTTGAGGACCCCTCCTCCCCCCCAGTCATTTCTCGAATTATGGTCCCTTGGTGGGTACCCCTGAATACTAGGGGCAGCCTTATAATAGTAACCCCCAAAAAGGGACCATCATTTCGAGAAGTGACCATATCGGAGTTGAGGGTTTGGGGGTGTAGGGCTTATCACCCATGTGTCTTAGCAAGATTTCCGGTTTAGGGTGTTAGGGCTAGTGTTTGGGAATTAGGGTTTAGGGTTTGGGGTTTGGGGTTTAGGGTTTAGGGTTAAGGGTTTGGGGTATAGGGTTTAGGGTTCGGGGTTTAGGGTTTAGGGTTTAGGGTCAAGGCCCCAGTGTGACACCTCCTGTGAGCCGAAGCCTTTTCTCCCCATGGGTTTTAGGGGTTTAGCAAGCCCTACCACGAAGCCACCAGTGACCCTGAAACATCTTGATCCCCCTAAGCTCCTAAAATATTTCGACTCGAAACCCTAGCCCCTTACAGCCCTGGCACCCCCCCCCCCCCCAAAAAAAAAAAAAAAAAAATGAGAAGAGCCAGAAAACATAGGAACAAAGAACAACAAACACAAAGACTCCCATTTAGGGTTGTTTAACGTTTAAAAAACCCTAAATGCATAGGAACAAAATAACAACAAACAAAAACTCCCGAAGTGGGGGGGTGCGCACCACATGGCCCTGGTCGTGGGCTGCAGGCGAGAGTGCTCAGAAGCTGGGGGGTTTAGGGAACCAACCCTAGAACCAGACACAGGGTTTAGGGTTTGGGGTTTAGGGTTTAGGGTTTAGGGTTTAGGGTTTGGGGTTTAGGGCAGAGGGTAGAGGGTTTCGGTTTTGGATTACGGGTTCGGAGCTGAGGCTCCTGGCTGCGGCATGGACAACGGTCGACAGCCCTAAGCCATCTTAAAAACCCTACACCCTACTCCCTACACCCTAAACCCAAAACCCGAAGCCCTAGACCCAAAACCCTAAGCCCTAAACCCTAGCCCCTACACCCTAACCCTAAACCCTTCCCTCCTCAACCCCAAGTCTCAATGAAACCCTTGAGCACCTTAGCCGTAGACCCGAAGCCTTTTCTTTCCCAACTTCAGCCCCACAGCCCCAAACCTATATGATCCCCACAGCCCCCAAACCAAATTGGACCCTAAACCCCAAACCGAAAAAATTAATCCCAGATGAGCGGAAGCCCCAAAACGCAACCCCCAAACCCGAAACCCAAATCAATCCTAGATCCTTTAGCCTGCACCCTGAACCCCTAAACCCTAAACGCCTAAACCCCGAAACCCCAAAGCCTAAACCCTAAACCCCGAAACCCCAAACCCCAATAACCCCTAAGCTTCACTCCTGCATCCTTTTTACTCGCCGAAGGCTCCTACCGTCGCCAAGCCATGGCGGTCCGGGGTATCTTTGGGCCGATGGCCTGGAGCCTTTTCTGCACTCAACCCCTAAACCCCTAAACCCCTAAACCCCTAAACCCCTAAACCCCTAAACCCCTAAACCCCTAAACCCCTAAACCCCTAAACCCCTAAACCCCTAAAACCCCTAAACCCCCCTAAACCCCTAAACCCTAAACCCCTAAAACCCCTAAACCCCTAAACCCGAAACCCTAAACCCCATAAACCCCTAAACCCCTAAACGCCTAAACGCCCCCTAAACCCCTAAACCCCTGAACCTTGAAACCCCGCAACCCCGAAACCCCGAAACCGCAAGCCCTAGCCCTGAACCCTGAACCCTAAACCCTAAATCCTAAACCCAAAACCCAAAACCCTAAACCCTCAACCCTAAACCCTGAACCCTAATCCCGCCCACCACCCCTCTCATTCTAGAGGTGAGTGGGCGCCGTCGGGCGCTCAGCGAGACCATGGCAGGCAGAGCCGAGCTGCAGAGCCTGCCAGCCGCACCCCTGAAGGGGTCGCCAGGCTACAGTCTTGGCTCAGTGACTGTCATTGTAACCCTAAGACCTAAACCCTAAACCCTAAACCCTAAACCCTAAACCCTAAACCCTAAACCCTAAACCCTAAACCCTAAACCCTAAACCCTAAACCCTAAACCCTGAAGTTGGCCCGTTCTGTTGTGCCATTTCTTCGCAATGTCTCAGTCGCTCCACCAAACAAGAGTTGTGTAAAAACCTTCGAAGCACTCGTGACTTGGCAAATCCACGAGCCGCACGCCCTCCAATTTGCGGGCTCGTGATAGCATCACGAACAATGCTAAGGCAGAATCCTTGCTTTTGAAGTAGTACGGCTGCGACAAAAACGCAAGCAGGCCTTCGTGGCAGGTAATGCCTTGTAGACCGTAGTGCGTTAAAACTCGACGAGGGGCCAATGGTACCTGACACATGGTATGATTGTTCCATGCGCGTCTTTCTCTATTTGTTAGTTCCATTGTAATTGTTCCGTTTCTTCTCGCCCCCGGCCTGCGTCTGCAACAAGCCGATTTTGTGATGAGGAGCAATGTCAAACTTCGAAGCGTCGGTTGAGGCCACCGATGCAACGCAGGAGCGCCCCTTCAGCAACTCGCAACCGGGCATGATTGATGCTGAGCGTATTTCCTTGTCCTCGACTTCGACTACTTCTGCCAGCGGCTGGTTTTGCAACGCAACACAATCCGCGCAGCCCGCCCGTCCCGATTCTAGCGGATGAAGAATAATGTCACGTGCAACGCACGGCTTCCCGGTTTCGTAGCGGCTCTGGAGTGATGCATGAAAGACGGACCGGCGCCCCCAAGTATAAGGGACACCTCCCAGAAGATAACTAGTGCATGTCATGGAAGCCACCTTCAAAGCATCGGTGGCATTCTCAGCTGTCCACTCCACGTCGCCGTTCGGCCGATCGATAGCCTGCCCATAGTAGAGCGGCTGCCAACACGGATCGCAGATGTTGTAGTCGCATGACATACGTGACAGGAGCCACTGCCGTGAGACGTCAGAAGCAAAACTACAGCTACGGACGAGTTCAACCGTGCCGTGGTGCCTGCCTGGCTTTGCGCAGCTGAAAGTTGTGGTCATGTCGCCAAGTGCTGCAGGGGATTCCGGCTGAGGGTTCTGGCAGGCAGTTTGAGAGCATGGATGATGCGCAGGTCTCCACGTTTTCGTCAAGAAGAAGCAGGTAGAGATGCGTTTTTGTTGCGTGACACCATTCGGCGGACATGGCCGAGTGGTGTTCGCGCTTTTGGCGACACAAAAACAGCGATTGAGGAAGGTGAGGAGATGCTTGCAGAGCTACGAAATGAATGTCGCAAAGATAGACTCGCTGACTGGAGATACAAGATGAAACAGAAAGGGAAGTTTTGCACGAGGTGGCTTAAGGAAATCTTGCTGCCCGGACCCCTACTTCGGTGATCCAGATGAATGGACAGTGCGCGGCCTCCGTTTCTGAGACCCTCGCTGCTATCGAAGACTTTTGGGCCGTTTTTTGGGATCGTAATCTTTCGTGCTCTCACCTGAAGAGTTACGAGCCGCGGCAGCCTCCAAGTCGGGCGGGGGTTCAAAGAACCAGACTGGCTCAACAGTGGATCACTACCATTTGTTGTGGGCAGCAGGACAAGGTGACTGTGGAGTTACCTTTCACACAAGTCATTGGCCCTTCTATCATACCAGTGTGCGCAAGGTGATGATGTGCCCAGGTGGGAATGGCATGTAGCCCTCAACCCTAAAGCTAGATCTGAAAACTTAAGCCTTCAACTCTACACTCTACATTCTCAGCTCTAAACTCCAAACCCTAAACCTTGTCAGGTGGCTGGGTGCGTGCGCTGAAAGCACAGGGACTGCCAGCTCTGCAGATCCCAAAAGATGCAAAGGGGTGGTGGATTTGCCATCAGCAGCGCAAGCTGCAGGACAGAACAGTGCTGGGGGGATAAGGTTGCAGATTGAAGCCGTAAAGGCGAAAACCCTCAAGCCCGATTCTGAAACCCAAACGCTGAATCCTAAACTAAGCTGTAAACATGAAAAGATTGCAGGCTGTTCTGGCAACAGTGGCTCGATAGTCTGGTGCCAGCCTTGGTGGCAGGAGATTGGAAATCAGGGCCAGCAATGTCGACAGGGACTTGCGCGCAGTTGCAGAAACTGCAAAACATCGGCCAAGTCGAGAGGTGTTCTTGCCAAGAGGCTGCCAGTTCATACAGCCTTGGCGGGGTCAAGTTCTGCGGCAATGGCCAGGGACTCATAGCGAAACCCTCGCGCGAGACTTCCCTCTTTGGATGATCTCCATGCTTGTGCTTGGCTTGCGCAGGTTGATCTGACTGCTAGCCTAGCCGGGCGCTGCGGATGCTCAACGCTGCTCTGCTACGCAGACTCTCAGCAGCGGCCTATCAAGCGGTTGGGTGGATCATTTCCTGGGATCCGACCACCCTGCGGAACGCTAATCTTGTGAGGTCCGAGTTTCCATTTGCTGCTTTGCGACCTCAGGAGAAACTCCGATGCTTTCGAACAGGCGTGTGGTGAACAATTTGTCGCTCACGCTACCTGAAGAATCAAAATGCGAGGGGCAGATCCTTGCTATCGTGCCAGGATTCGTCAATCCTGAATGGATGCCATTTGTTTGGGTTTAGGGCTTGGGGTTTAGGGCTTAGGGTTTAGGGCTAAGGGTTTAGGGCAAAGTGTTGTCGGGTTTACAGGGTTTAAGGGCTTGTAGTGTTTAGGGTTTGAGGTTTAGGGTTTTAGGGTTTTTTGGGGCTTGGGGGAGGGCTTTGGCAACGGTTTTCGGGTTTAACGGTTTGGAGGTCCATGGCCAAATTTTTGATTTCCATGGGCCATTTTGATTTCCATCAATTTCCTTGTAGCATTTAGCGTTTCTTTAGTTTGGAGTTCAGGGTTTACGAAGTCTGCAGACATGGGATATCCTAGAAGCTCCTACATCCTCAAGGTTGCTGCCCCCCAGGCTCCCGAACCTCCTTGAGAAGCCTCTAGATTGTTACGGCGTGGAGTTTTCCTTAATTGTTGGCTACATTCTGCGTTTAGGTAGATCCTTGCCCCTAAATCCTAAACCCTACACCCTAAACCCTAAACCCTAAACCCTAAACCCTAAACCTTAAACCCTAAACCCTAAACCCGAAACCCTAAACCCTAAACCTTAACACAAAACCGTGGCTCTCACCGAGGCACCTCGCACGGCTTCGGCGCCTCGGCAGAGGCAGCGCCAAGAGGACAGACATCCAGCAGACGCCACGGATTTCGCCCGCCACCTTTTAGGGTTTAGGGTTTAGGGTTTAGGCTGTAGGGTTTAGGGTTTAAGGTGCATGGGAGCACGGTTGTCCCCTGACCTGCAATTCCTAATGGTGAGAATGCAAATGTTTCGAGTAACAGAGCGACTAGAGGATCACGAGCCAGTTAAGCTAAGCATCGCAAGAGAAGACGCCAGACGACAGCCTGAAGATGAGCAATGAACAACACAGATCCAAACCCTTACGTGTTCGTCGGTGCTTAACAGTGTGTCATAAGGTCCCTCATTCCCAAATGCCCTACTGGTACTAGCAAGCCGTGGAAAGCCACCGTGCAACCCAAGGATGAAGAACGATCCTAAACCCCAAACCACAAAACCCAAAAACCTAAACCCAGCCCGAAACCCTACAACGCTGCCCCGAAAACTCCGAGCCGGATGCAAAGGAGGCTTTGGCCGGGTGTTCCCTGATCGCCGTTCTGGTCTCTTCCAGGCGGCAAGGGTGATTCAGGGTCAGGTCTCATTAGCGTTTGCTTATTTGGGGTTTAGGGTTTAGGGCTCAGGACTTTAGGTTCAGGGTTTCGGGTCGCTAATGGCCAAAACCCCGAACCTTAAAGGCATAGCGGCATTAAAGAGATGTTCAGGCGTTCGGGGTTGGATAGGCCATGGCCATGCATGCGTGAGGTGCCAGCCCAGAGTGATGGTTGGTTTACAGGGGTTCAGGCGTTTGAGCAAGAGCAAGACTCTTTTATCTACCTCCCACACGCGCAAACCCAACCCCTGAACTGCTGAACCCGTGAACCCCTGAACCCTGAGAGCCTAAACCCCCTGAGCCCCTAAAGCTCAACCCGAGCCCTAAACCCTAACCCTAAACGCTAAACCCTAAACGCTAAACGCTAAACGCTAAACCCTAAACCCTAAACCCTAAACCCTAAACCCTAAACCCTAAACCCTAAACCCTAAACCCTAAACCCTAAACCCTAAACCCTAAACCCTAAACCGGATTGGCCCTGGGCTGGCAAGGAGGCAACCCCAGAGGCCCCGACGCTCAACTCAGGCCAGGCAAGGGATGGTTCAGGGTTTAGGGTTTAGGGTTTAGGGTTTAGGGTTTAGGGTTTAGGGTTTAGGGTTTAGGGTACGAGTTTAGAACTTCTGCGCGCATGTTCAGGGGATGCTTGAGGCTATCTTGAGGTTCTGGTACTCCACGGGCAGGGATTTAGGTCTTCAGGGTTTGGGCCTCCGGTCCTTAGGGTAAACCGGAGCTGGAAGCTGGGCTTGTAGGGACTTGGGGCTGAGATGAAGGGCTTCATGGTGCTAGCGTGCCATGGAGTTCGAGGGCTTTCGAAGGCCTCCGAAGCCCCTCTCCAGCTTCCCTGAACATCGGAGTTCGACTGGCATCCCTGCCTTGAACCCTTGTTCGTTATTTACCGCGAATATTGGCAAGAGACGGCATTCCGAAAGACCAACAAGCCAGCAACCAGGACAGCCACGGCAATGCTTACAAGAAGCTACGTTGCGCGTTGAGGGGTTGGAGTTGCATGTCGCCCGAATCTAGGGCACCTTGCTTCCCTTTGCCCTCGCCGGTGGTGGCTCAAATGCCCAGCTCGCATACGACCTGTCCCTGCCGCCCATCAGCGGACGCCGTTCCATACGACACCTCGTTCCGAGGTTCTTGGGCGAAATCCCTCGCCCCTCTCACTAAGGCCGCTAGCTCGGCCTGCTTTCTCGCTTTCTGGCACCTGGGCTGCTGTTAGACACGCCTCTGCTTTCAAGGGGGCTTAGAGGAATTTAGGATTAACAAATGGGCCGAAACCCTAAACCCTAAACCCTAAACCCTAAGCCCTAAACCCTAAACCCTAAGCCCAAAACCCAAAACCTAAACCCTAACCCCTAAACCCTGAACCCTGAACCCTGAACCCTGAACCCTGAACCCTGAACCCTGAACCCTGAACCCAGCTGAGGTACCTTTCCACGTAATGGCTGCCATCGTGGCCGAGCCCATGGGCAGTCTGTCCTGGACCCCTTACGACCCGATGAAGGCGCGGCTGGGCTTCGGGAGGGTTTAGGGTTTAGGGTTTAGGGTTTAGAGTTTTGGGTTTAGGGTTTAGGGTTTAGGGTTTAGGGCCTCCATGCTGGGCTTTCCTGTGTCCGGGTTTAGGGGCTTAGGGGTTTAGGGGTTTAGGGGCCTAGGGGTTTAGGGGTCTAGGGGTTTAGGGGTCCAGGGGTTTAGGGGTTTAAGGGTTGAGGGGTTGAGGGGTTTAGGGGTTTAGGGGTTTAGGGTTTAGGGCTTTCGGGTTGAGGGTTTCCGAGTATTTGGCGGTTGCTTGTCATATCGCGTTGATTGCTTAGTATTGGTTACAGTTTCATACATTCAAGGTGGGACCTTACTACAACTTCATCACGTTATAAGTTTAGGGTTCCTCGAATTTCATATTAAGGGAGCAAAAAGTTAAGCTTTTATGGGGGGTCTAAAGCCTAAACCCTAAACCCTAAACCCTAAACCCTAAACCCTAAACCCTAACCCTAAACCCTAAACCCTAAACCCTAAACCCTAAACCCTAAACCCCAAACCCCAAACCCTAAACCCTAAACCCCAAACCCTAAACCCTAAACCCTAAACCCTAAACCCTAAACCCTAAACCCTAAACCGTGATTCAGCGGCCAGGTGGAGCCATCCGACATGGTCTCCCTGCTCAAGCACCTTGGCACCCATGGCCCTTAACCTTCAACTCTCAGCCCTCAGCATTCTTTGCCTCAAGCAGTCCTTGGGGGGGGGGTACTATAATCCCTAGTAAGGGCTGTGAGTATAAGGGGGGAACATCCCAAGCTTAGGGTTAGGAATTGGGTTCCGGGGGGTGTCTGCAGGACCGTTCGCTTCAGACACCCTCAACCCTCCACTCCAGGGAAGCTTCGGACCCTACTTGTTCGTCGAGGATCTCTCTACACCCTAAACCCTAATCCCTAGAATCCCTAGAATCCCTAGAATCCCTAGAATCCCTAGAATCCCTAGAATCCCTAGAATCCCTAGAATCCCTAGAATCCCTAGAATCCCTAGAATCCCTAGAATCCCTAGAATCCCTAGAATCCCTAGAATCCCCCCTGAATCCCTAGAATCCCTAGAATCCCTAGAATCCCTAGAATCCCGAGAATCCCTAGAATCCCTAGAATCCCTAGAATCCCTAGAATTCCTAAACCCTAAACCCTAAACCCTAAACCCTAAACCCTAAACCCTAAACCCTAAACCCTAAACCCTAAACCGCAAATCCCAGACCTTAAAAAGCCCTAAGCCCGGAACCCTAAGCTAAAGCCCACAATGACCTCTGGTTGAGGGCACACGGGTGCCCGCGGAGGCTCATTGAGGAGGCTGGGAGCTACAGCTTCGCGAACAAGATGGACAGTGTGGCGGGGAGCTGAGGTTTTAGGGTTTAGGGTTTAGGGTTTAGGGTTTAGGGTTTAGGGTATTGGGCAGTTTAGGGTTTCGGGTGTAGGGTGGTAAGGGGTATAGGGAGGGAAGGGACCCTTAAATCTTATTCCCCCTATATATCCCTATTCCACCCCTGTACATACATTTTTTCTGTCCCTATATTCCTAAGTGGCCCCGAAAAAAATCCTAAGAGAGCTCTTCAGGTCCCTGATTAGGGTCCCTCCTTTAGTCCCTTGAGGCTCTGGGCGTAGGACTCCGGGCTTGCTCCGGGCTGGGACTTCAGTGGTTCGGACCTTAGGAGTTAGAGCTTAGGTTTCAGGAGTTTGGGCCCTACACCCGGAACCCTAAACTCTGAACCTGTGAACCGTGATTCGGCCCTAATGTCGCCTACACCCCAAAAGCTGTACTCGTACGGTTTCCCGGTTTCGGGTTGATCCCTAAACCCGAAGCTCCAACCCTTCAACCCTCAGCCACCTAAACCTGCAAACGCCTCAAAGCTCCAAGCCCAAGAATCCATGGAATCCCGAAATCCCAAGCCTGCAACGGTTTGGGCCTTTCACCCTAAACCCCAAACCCCAAACCCCCACACCCTAAACCCTAAACCCTAAACCCTAAACCCTAAACCCTAAACCCTAAACTCCAAAATCCCTAAACCCTAAACCCTAAACCCTAAACCCTCAACCCTAAACCCTAAACCCTAAAACCCTAATCCCTAAAATCCCTATACCCTAAACCCTAAACCCTAATCCAAAATCCCTAAACCCTAAACCCTAAACCCTAAACCCTAAACCCTAAACCCTAAACCCTAAACCCTAAACCCTAAACCCTAAACCCTAAACCCTAAACCCTAAACTCCAAAATCCCTAAACCCTAAACCCTAAACCCTAAACCCTAAACCCTAAACCCTAAAACCCTAAACCCTAAACCCTAAAACCCTAATCCCTAAAATCCCTATACCCTAAACCCTAAACCCTAATCCAAAATCCCTAAACCCTAAACCCTAAACCCTAAACCCTAAACCCTAAACCCTAAACCCTAAACCCTAAACCCTAAACCCTAAACCCTAAACCCTAAACCCTAAACCCCGGCCCAGATGAAGCTGCAGATCGCCGAGCCCCAGTTCGTAAACCTCCCTCAAGGCCTTCTGGGGTTTAGGGTTTAGGGTTTAGGGTTTAGGGATTAGGGTTTAGGGTTTACGGTGTAGGGATTCTAGGGTTTAGGGTTTAGGGTTTAGGGTTTAGGGGTTCCAGGGTTCAGAGTGTAGGGATGAAGGCTGTTTGGCATGTTGAGGTTGCATATTTCTAGCGACATTCCTGATTCTACGTAGATACTAGGGCCATGTCCCAGCACGCCGGCCTGCTGACAGAAAGTTGGGGCTCTTCTTGGCTAGTTGTCCTTCTTGCCCTAAACCCTGAACCCTAAACCCTAAACCCTAAACCCTAAACCCTAAACCCTAAACCCAGAATCCCTACACCGTAAACCCTAAACCCTAACCCCTAAACCCTAAACCCTAAACACACAAGTCAAGTGCTGCGCAGATGAGCCTGCTTCCCGCCGCACGCGCAAGAAGAAGAATGCCAACCGCAAGGGCCGGGGAGCTCGGGCACATGCAGGAAGTGGATGGAGGGTTTAGGGTTTAGGGTTTAGGGTTTGGGGTTTAGGGTTTAGGGTTTAGGGTTTCATGGAAGTCCAGTTGAGTGTCACAATCTCTGCTTTGAGCGAAAAGATTAATAAAGGTCGGGGGTTGCTTGAGATGTGAGCGGCTTGAGCCTGGTTGCTGCTTCAAGGGCCATTGGCTCTCGGCAGTTGTCATCGCAACCCGTGAACCCCCCCCCCCCCAACCCCCCCCCCCTCCCCCCGATGCCAGTGGCTCAGGGCCTCGCCCTTCATGCTCCATTAAAGGCGCCCCAAATCCTAAACCCGAAGCCCTAAACCTCTCAACCCTCAACCCTAAGCCCTCAACCCTAAACCCTAAACCCAAAACCCACCCTAAGCCCTAAGCCGCTGAGGTGGGGGGAGCCCCAGTTCCTCCTCCTCGTCCTCTGCGTGCGAGGCCGGGGGCCCCCAGTCGAAGTTGGGATGCTTTTGGGGGTGTTTTCTGTGGGGGGCCGAAGGGGAGTTGGTGAGTTGGGGTTTCGGGTTTAAGGCTTCGGGTTTAGAGTGGGTTTTAGGCATTTTGGGGTTTAGGGCAAGAATCTTGGGGCTTGGGGTTGTAGGATGAAAGAACGGGGCAGAACGACATGCGGAGAACGGGCAGACCCCACAAGCCAAAAAGCCATAAGCCCTGCGCACCCCTGAAAGCCAGCCCTGAGTCCCAGACCCTGGTCCCGAAAAAGATTGGGCAGCAAGTGCAGATATAGCCCACGGTTTTATAGAGTTCGTAGGCTTGATCGGCTTATAATAGGCTTGACGGGCTTTTTATACGCTTTCTAGGGTCTATCGGGTTGATACTCTTTGTAGCCTTTGTAGGCTTTAAAGGCTTTTGTAGGCTTTAGAAGCTTTTAGGGTCTAAGGAGGAGCTTCTTTCGGTGGGCCCTGAGTCCCCCCCCTGCCTCAGGCCAGCACAGGGAGCCTGGGTCATCCATGGATGTGCCGCCGGCCATGCGCACCTTGGTTGCGATGTTGGGTTCGGG